CCATGAAGTGTTTTTTTTCCTTATATAGCTATATATTCACATTCAAATTAGTCATTTTGCTGGGACACTAGAGAACAGCACAGAAGCTAAAAATAAACTCCCATTGTCCCAGACTGTCCCAGGTACTGGGACTTACTAGGACAGATTTTATGTGCTTAATTTTCTATTTTTCATTGAATGTCCTTATTTTTGTGTTTCTTAGTATATTTGCTTTCAGCTCTTTTGTTTTATTTTATACTGGAAAATTTATCTGTGAAGCCAGAAGAAATTGTTCTCTCAAATTTTGTTGAAGATTTTGACATTTTTTTGTGGACATTTCTGTCTCCAATCAGATGAGAGTTACAATGGCTTGCACTTATCTTTCAAGTTCTGTTTCCAGCCTTCATGACTGCTATCTTTGAGGCAAACAATGCTATCAAATATGCTTCAAGAAATGGCCATTAATGAGAACAGACAAGAGAGAGAAATGGTCAAAATTAGCTCTCATATTACTGAACAAATGTGTTGTTTCTGTTCAACATCAAACTGTTCATGAGTTACCACACCAGTTACAAGAATCAGATTGAAAACCATAAGAGGTGCCAAAGTAATAGGTGACATCACAGTCTTTTGTGCCAGGTGTTAGTTATATGGAAATATGGAAAGGAATCAGATGATATCCACAGTTCAATATGAATTTAAAGGTCTCTATACTTAGGCAAAAACCAGTGGATATGTATTGCTACAGATACAAATTTTAAATCCCAATGACTGCCACTTTTCTATCCAGTAAAAACCATCCTTGAGTGGGTAAGTAGTTCTCTAATGATTAAAACAAAAATTTCTCTGTGGTGAAGCACAACTGTTGAAAAGAACTCTGCATAGTGAGATCTAGTGCAGACATACGTGCATCTATGTTCATGTAATATTTTCCTTTAATTTGGATTTTTCAGAAAGATATTATTTCCAGAGATATTTTAAATCTGAAATATTTTCAGCCATCTGATTTACTGGATCAAATAAATAATTGGAAATATAAGAATATTATCATATTGATGTGATTATAAAATTACTATAGAAGTTATTTTTAACATTTCTTTGGTTTCATATTGTGCTTATATTTTCACATTTAAAACAAGAAAGACACCGAATTAATTCTTAAGAGGTGCCAGCAGAACTGTTTGTAGAATAATTTGGAGACTGTAAGCATAGTAAGTGACAATCTGATCTCTAGTAGATAAGTAAAATATTGGAGAATTTCGGTGAAGTTGACTTAGTAGTAGAATCTGTCTCATGGATTTTTTTAGATTGCTTTCAAAGATCAAAAAAACAGAGCAATTACATTGTTTGAATTAGTTGTCTCCTCTCAATTAGATGAGGTGAATAAAATTATTCCCATATCTTGAATTTTAAGATCCTTTGGCATACATATCAGGAGTGTAACAGGAACCTAAATATAGTCTGCCTAGAAATTCCATCTACCTTTGTTGCCATAAAAAAAATGGATATCCTGCATGCTTACCACTGGCCACATGACATCCCCAAAAGGCCCCTGTAAATATTTGAGCACATATTCATGGTTAAAGTACCAGAAGCATGATGTAATTACACCAGTGACTCAAGAAGAAAAATATACTTGAACCCAAATCAAAAGATAATACCCTTTACCTATTTATTTGCCTTTAATTCCTGATATATTCAAAAACAATCTTGAAGCTGCTTCAGCTCACTACAATTGTTTTTGATTGATTTTGGATTTAGCACTTGTATATATACATATATACATACATACATGTGTGTGTATCTATATACATAAACTGAGAGTGTATTTATCATATTATTAATATACTTCCATATATTTTACCCATTATAGCTCTTTATCCCTCTCCCTGATTCTAAACACATACTGACATGTGTATTTCACAGATATTACATATTATATGTTTTCATTCTTTTTTCTGGGCACTTGAACAAACTTCAGGACAGTTAAAAGTATAATTTGTTTATTGAAAATAATCTTATATTTGAAAAAGCTCTCATTTGAAAATACATCCATTGTCTATCAGAGTTTCAAGAATGTATCTTTATTTTCTTTAAGAAAAATCTCTCTCCCTTTGAAGGTCAAGTGTTAAATGGTTAGTGGTATTGATTTATAGCTAATAGTCACTTCATTTCTGTTATGGCAACTCAGAGAACTGGTTTGGTCCCCTAGCTGTGATAAAATGTAGGTTAAGTATGTAATTTATTATTTGTCCTTCTGTGATTAATTGATAATTTACAATGCAATACAAGTATTGCAATCCAATTAAGTATTGTAAATCTACAATTTACAGTAATTAATCATCCAAAATATTAATCAGCAGCCAGCTAAACAATAGCACTGAGTTTAATGGTTTTAATATCAATGATCAAGTGGTCACTGAAAGGAAGAAATCCTCTCAATTAAAGACCTGACTTTAGATTTTGCTGTCAAGTGCTCCCTGTTAACCTCACCTTCCTACTTGCTGCTGAAAACTCAGAACTAATCTGGCACTTCACCAAAATCAGCCCTTTAAAATGTTTGAATCAGGACTTTAGTTCAGCAAATGCCTGTATTGTTTCAAAATCTGTGGGAAATTCCACATGGCCTGGAAAATGTTTTGTAACACTGTCAAAAGATCTTCTGTGTGCAAACAAATAAGACTGTGTACTGGTCAATCAATGCAATAATTCAAAATAATACTGCACTGATAGCCAAAATTGCTGTCTGCTATGTAAAGAAATTCATTATCATTCAAATATATATCCAAAAAGTTCCATTTGTATCATCTATAGTATCCGTGGTAAAAAAAAAACAAAGCAAAATTCCCTGCTTCAAACTGTGTATTGACTTTTCAATTTCTTAGTGGGTATTGGGGAAATTATCCTCTTATTATAGGGTCAACATAACTCAGAAAACTCCTTTGCTCATTTGCTCTGTGGATTGAAGATTTAATATCATTTAATGATCAATTAATTGCTGTTGTAATAATTGTTTTCTTATGATTATTAAAAAATATAATTCAATTTCTGTATATCTATGTTGATTGAATAAAGAATTTTTTTTAATGATGTTACCGATCCAGTTTTTGCAATGGCATTTTACTGAGCTAAGAAGCATGTCCTGAACATAGTTAATTATTGTATAATGAAAACACCATAGAACTTATGATCACATGCTCTGTGCTTCAGTTGTAGTTAGTTTGTGTACATCTACCTGCAATAATTTAATGCATTGTGTGAGTGCATCTTAAGAAGAGGTAAGTACTCTTAAGAAAGGAGCAGAGCAGGCAGTCAGACTAGAGTAAACTGCGACTCTGTGTTTCACTTTGGTTTTCCCAATGAGGTAAGCTCAGCTGGTTGGAACATGGTGCTAATACTGCCAAGGTTGTGGTTTACATCCCCATACAGGCCATTCACCAAAGAGCTGGACTCAGTGGTCCATGTGGGTCACTTCCAAATCAGAGGATTCTCTGACTCTGTGATAGTCTAAAGTGGCAATGCCACCATGCGGTTCTGACCAGTCCAGAGCTGCAGTAAAAAGCCTGGGAATGCAGAGGTGAAATTGCTGAGTAATGCAGCAATTTCTATAATCCTAATCCTGAGTAGCTATACTGTTTCAATCAAACCCAGTCAGGTAATAGCTAATACCACTGCATGGGGAAAACTTGACTAACACTCGTTTCTAGTCTTCAATCACAAATGATTGCTACTCATTCAATGTCATCAGCAACCAAATCTGAAAAAAACCCAGAGTTATAGAACTTTAACTTATACACACTTAAATAACACAAGTAACACTTATACACACTTAAATGACACAAGCTTGGAAAATATCACTGCAATTTATTAAATCAAATAGTATGTTAATTATGTTAAAATGCTAAAAATCAGTTTGATACCCTCATCCAAGATAACTGGCAGTCCATACTACATTACTTATCTCACTATCTTCAACTTAAATATGTCCTCCATCAAGCACTTAATCAGCATTTCTTCATGACCATTTTGCTTGGTTTGTGAGGAAAGCTTAAATAAATTCTGGAAAAAATTGTCCTATATCGGGTCAAAAGCAAGTTTTTAATACCATGTTTATTGAATGGATCCTTGAAATGATGTATCTTTCTCAAATATTTGGATAGATCACTTGGCCATTCATCTTCTCAAGTAAACTCTGATTCATTTTTTAGCATATCCTAAATCACAGGAAATGTCTCTTTAGTGTTAGGAAATAAAGTTTCATCACATTGTAATTCTGCAGGTATTACAGAACAATTATTATTATTGCAGAACAATAGCTATTCTGTAATATTGAAGCAACCCAGTCATGAAATAAAAATATGATACCTCAGAAAGCATCAAAACACAGGACATTATTTCTCATTATTTCTCTTCTGGACTGATATTTAAGGTACTGTATAATGTATGGTAATACATGATTACCTATGCAGCTACTTTAAGTTTTTCCACTTGGAGTGCTGCATTTATGTACACAACCTGTACGACTGCTCATACTAGTTTTGTTATAACTATTAAATCAATTTTTTTTTTTCTTAAGCTGTGCTATGTTCCTGGACATGCATAAAGATATAGGAGACAAGATCATACCCAAACCACAACTAAATGGAATATAATTGATAATAAAAATGAAGTATAGCTGTGCGAAAAGACCTAAAGAAGTTTGTAGAAATCTACATTAAATAGATTTTGAAAATAATTCCCACTGAAATATTGTTAACATTATGTACAGATGCAGGTGTATACAAATAGTGTATTTGTCAGAGCCCATGGAAAACTTACTAGTTATGAATATAGTCCTTCTACAACTCTCATTTCTGTAATTAGCTTGATTTCCATGCAGCTCTGAATAATTTATAAGCAATTTCAAAAGAAGCAAAGAAAAGGTCATATATTCCTAAAACATCTTTTTATTTCATTTGTTTTAATATTACCATGATAATATTTATCCATATGAAAAAAAAATGTATCTAAAGAAACAAACATCAGGTTCATCATGATGCTAGTTTATTTTTTCTCTTATTGCTTTGAAACAGGAATGGTAATAGATGTTGAAAAGAATTAATGGTGTATACAGAAACAATAATATGACATGAATGTCAACATGGACTTTTGGGTTTGGTCTGCTCGTAACCATCTGTCCATCTTTGTGCTTGGAGAAATAGAGGACTTAACTGCAGCAGTAGATAAATCCTGTATCTGATTTGGAAAGCAATTGGCTTACTGTTTTCATGAAATCTCTGATTACATGATTAAATCTATATTCAAGTACACAGAACTCACTCACTCTGCTCTTCATTGTTCTGTGTATAACCTCAAACTGTTGCTTTCCACCCCCATGTCATTATAATGGCTTTGTAAACTCCTACAATCTTGGATATTTTTTTTTTTACCAGGGGGAAGTTTGAGGTAAGAAGGACTTTCCCACCATACTTTCTTTGTCTTCTGGTCTATTAGTCTGCTACAGCTTTTGGTTTCAGTGGAAAAATGTGGAAAAAAAGTTGGTTGCATTATTATAATTAATGACATCAATTAATAGGAAGAGAAATAAAAGTCCTTATAATTTTCAAACGTTTCTGCACTATGTGTTGGCTGACTAAAATGATAATGTCTGAGATCAGATACGGAGAGGCACAAAGACTCATTTTTTATACCTCTGTTATTATACAGTAAATGGCATTGTGATGTGAGTATACTTTGAAATTAAATTATGATATGGTCACTTGCTGGAATATTGGCAGACATGACATTGATTCCACAGAAGATTGTAAAAGAGATCATTTTCATAAAATGAAATAGGATTACTTGCCATTACCCTTTTCAAATTGAGGAGAGCAAGTAAGTGCTGTAACAGCTCGGGATTCTAAAATGTGGTAGTCAGTGATGTGTAGATGGCCTTCTGTCTTCTACAAACTATAACATCTCCCTACAGACAGCTCTGAATATGGACTTCAGGCCTCTTCTGAGTCTTTCAGATAATGATGTCTAAATATTACTGTAATAAAATGACAAATGAAATTCAATACTAAGCAATTATCCACTCCTATGTATATCTTCAAGTGCCATTAATTCTTCATCAGAGGAAATTTTCTGTAAATAATAAAAAAAAAATAAAATAATTGGCATTTTAATTGGATAATAAAAGCAATAATTGGATTTTGGAATAAATTGAGATTAAAAATAGGGTTTGAAACCATATATAAAACAAAATTGTGCGGGTTGGAATTGACCTAAAAAATCATCTAATCCACCATGGCCAGGAACACCTTCCACTATACCAGGTTGGCCAAAACTCCATCCAACCTGGCCATGAACACTTCCAGGGATGGGGCATCCATAACTTTTCTTGGAACCCGTTCCAGTGTCTCACCACCCTCACAGTAAGAAAAAGATACTTTTATTCAAAATATATTCAGAAAGTAGATAGGTACAATTGCCATCTTGATGCTCAATATCATGTTGTAGGGTTTAAGGACTATTTGGTTGAATATGCTCAATAACAATAATGATCAAAATAATAATTATTGAACTCTCATTCTTATATTACTTTTGTGAAGTAAGTGTTTCATCTTGACCATAGGTTTTTCAGGTTAAAAATAGAAAGCAAAATAAAAATTAAAAGAAAAAAGAAGAGAGAAAATGAATTAGATTAATCAGATTAAAAGAATAGAAGAGCTACCTTGACCTACACTGAGTATCTGATATGGCATGTAAGAAGTAGAAAAGGTTTTATCCAGCCAAAATATATTGAGTTGTTGAGACAATGATGTTCAAAAAACCAGAAAAGTTACATGTATATAATAGTGAGGTGATGAATTAATAGCAAAACAAAGCCAAGTTCCAAGCTAATGGAAAGCCAAAAGAAGTGGAAAAACCAATATCCATATTCAACTGAAATGCAGCAGAAAGGAGCCTGCAAAATGAGAGGCTTGGCTCCTGGTCACCTCCTATGAGGATCTGACCTAGCAAACCCTTATTTCAAGACGTGATCGTATAGACAGTTTAGTTATTAACTGTTCTGGTGTTACACATGCTCTGTGAAAAAACATCTGTCTTGACAGGTGGATTATATTTTTTTCTCTCTTCATTTTGAAGGATGATATCTGAACTTTTAGATGAGGACCTTAAAAATCTCCATAACTTTCAGTTTCTAAAGGAAAATATATGGGTAATTAAAAAAAAACAAAGGTAGATTAAAAATAGTGATGATCCACTGGGCTGAATGATAGAGGAGACACAACTTAACTGTTGCTACCACTCAGTAAAAGCAAGAATAATCCTTATTGCAGAATCATTAGAGCATCAAAGTGAAACATTCTGCAAATGCATATTGCACTCATTTGGTACAGAGATTCAGTGTCCCATACAGAAATGAGCCTGAGCAAGAAATATAACCTAGATTGTGATCAAGAATCTATACTGATATCTAAAGTACCAATATAGAAATAATAAGAAAGTAGGAATGAAAATGCTCATGTGCTACAGATCACCGAACAGAATAGCTTCTGGATTGCATCACTACAGAGCAATGTGCAAAATTCAAGTAAACCCTGTGACTAATGAACTCATGCCTAAATCCAAAAATGAACTCTGTAATCAATGTGACAACAATGAGTCAACAGAAGTGAAGCTTTCCACTCTGGTATGCCAAATAATAGATGGTTCAGAAAAAGATATTTTTTTCAACCTGAAATAAATTACATAATACTTATATCTTCTTCTATTTTTATCTTTATTTGTTTTTTCCTTTAAAATAAATTAGGAATTGCTATTCCTCACCTTAAGAAAAGAATATCTAAGTTGTAGTGATTTTCCACTGCAGTATAAACTGGAATTCAACAATTAACTGGAACTCAAAGTTTCTCCCTGATCTCTTGGCAAGGCACTTAATCCTTCAAAACCCCAGTAAAATGAGAACGTTAGAACTTTTATGATCTGTTTGTAGCTTTTTGATGGCAGATCTGTCATACACATACATGCATGAAAATATTTCGACTTAGTGTTCTGAAAAACTAGCCTGCAACCATGGTGCTTGAAACTTAAGGCAAAAGTAGAGGGGAAATATGTTGATATTTGGTAGCACATAAGGGCATTCTTGGAGCACATTTGCATACATTGTGCATGTTTAAGAGAGCTTGGCATTAAAGAGTAAACCATACCTTTGAATAGAGATAAGGATGTAGTTTTTAATATAGATAGTAATTTAGGCTGGGCCTGCCTAAATGCTTCTAGGGCGAGTATGTTATTAACCAAAACCAATGGCTTTAAGTATTATGTTAAAAAGCTCAAACCCAAAATCAGAAATAAGAAACCTATTGGAAGCATGTGCTGTAACTGGGGACTTAAGAAGCAGTTGAAACTCTGGTGAGGTGAGCAACTTTTCACTTCAGCATGTGATGCACCCTTGTGCATGAGCTGAAATAACAAAATCTGTGGGTGAGTCTGTGGGAATTATTTTCACTGTCTTTTAGTGGCACGCATGGGAAGAGGGACAGGTGCGTGGATTGAGGAGAAGCTTGGAAAAGCAATTTATAGTGCCCTACACATCAACATACCAACAAGACTTAAAAATATGAGTGAAGAAAGGCTATTGTGAGAGGAGAAAAGCAACCATCTGGCATTGCAGTGGCTTTCTGGAGATGGAGATTATAAATGGGGTTAGTTCCAGTGTTGAAATTAGGTTTTCTTTTCCATTAACTTTCTAATTAGTGCTTTTCTCTACCATTTAAATCAATATTGTTTAACAAACTGCTTGGATCCTCCTGACAAAGAGGAAAATTGGTTCGATAGGAGCCTGAATTTTAATATCATTGCCCAAAATTCAGAGGATTTTGCCAGAGCTTTGAGCCAGGACTTTTTCTGGTGACATTTAATTTCAGCCCAGACCTCATTCCTGTCCATCAAGTCAGAAAGGAACAAAGCCTTATCTGAATACCACTGCATTAGGAAAAATCACAGTGTGCCAAAATGTGCATAACAACATCTGTATTTGTTTGGTTATGCCCCACCCTGCAGATCCTCATGAATCTTCACTTCCTCCACACTGCTGAAGCACTTGTAATGAATTTGGCGGAAGAATTCAGCTGTAAAGACTGGGGAGGTCAGGCTGATTGTGTGAGCCTTGAGTGTGCTGCTGGGCAGAGCAGTCTGAGGAGAATCAAAGAAAGCAAACTTTCTGCAAAAGTATTTGGAGTGACATTGAATTTTCTCTGAACAGCTTTGTTTCTGAGCACTTAACAAATATAAGAGATCCATCTATTCAGTGGGCTTTTCAATTAGTAAAATAACTCAGGAACACTGAAAATCAAGTTTGCATCCTTTGATAAGCATCAAGAAAAAGCACTACAATTTATTGGTGATCTGGTTAAAAGCCTTTCTTTCTGTCCCCAGTACATAATAGAGGCACATACTTAAGAAACATTGCCTGAGAAACTTATTTCAAAATGAGGAAGATAGCTGTTGGCAGCATAAAATATCTTTTCTTGTGTAGAGATTCACTACTTCTATTCTTTCCAGAGGCAATATAAAAGAAACCGAGAACACCATCTTCTAGAAAAGGAGGAGTCCAGCAAATTGTCACACTGCTTGATGTATTTCTCCTCTCACCTCAGGACTATCTACGACATAATTGGCAATAAATTGTTGTTACTTCTTACTATGGCAAATCCCTTTGTGACTTTTTATGTAGTTGGCGAGACAGAGGTATAGAGAGAATAAAAAACTCAAACAGCATAGTGCTTAAGTGCTATCAATAAGAAAAGAATATTAGTGACAAAAAAACTTCTAAAAGGGGAAAAAAATGGAGAAAAACTTGGAATAAAAACTGTGTCTATTCATTTGTGTTCATTTTCTGTCCTCTTGTTAAAAAGGGAAAATAGATTTAAAAGTAACTGAGCATTTTCTCATCTTCCCTCAGGAACCTGGAATTTAATCCATTGGATACCTACAAATACACACCTTGCTCAGGTCTCTGATATGTGCTCTTAATTATTCAATCAAGAATTAAGTAGTATGTGCACAGGAATTCCAACACAATTTCTTGATTGCTTTTTTTTATTGGTTTATTCTTTCTTTCTCAGGTAGGTTCCCTGGACACAGTCCAATCCTTAAAAGAAAAAAAAAATTAGACCAATTATATTTCTTGTGTCTTAATGTAGGGTTTAGATATGTACTGAAATGTTCTCATGGCAGAAAAGCCAATAGCTTTTGCAGCAATATATTCTTTCTATTCATAGCATATCTTGTTTGCTATGATGAGAGCATGAGAGTAAGAAGAGAATTTGCCAGTTTTCAGATATTGTAAATGACAAAACATAGTTTAGGAAACTTATATTTAAGATCTAGTAAAGGTACAACTTTATCTTTCAGGACAAATTTTTTTTTAGCCCTGATTCTACTTATTTTTTAAAGGTCAAAGTAAAACTAATACATATAGGGAGGTGCATATACCTGGATAGTCACTGAAGGAATGGGAAGGATGCAACTGGGCTTTAGTGTGTTTCTGAATCACACAAGAAAAAACAAAGCTGTTAACTCCCCTTCATCTGCTTCTCATAGTGAGTAAAGTAATTCTGCAGATGTATGGAATTGTAATATTTTTTAGGTTGCACTTCTATTTGGTTTTCTGTGCTATTTATTTTCTCTTTAAAAAATCTTAACAGATTATTCTAATTACCACAGCTGTATTTGGTCTGGCTGAGCTGGAGCTCATTTTCCCATAGAGCCTCACAGTGCTGTGCTTTGCATTGGTAGCTGGAAAGGTGTGGATAAAAGGTGCTTTGGCTGCAGATGAGCAGTGCTGGCACAGCATCAGGGCTGTCTCTCTAACATTTCCAGCCCCATCAACGTGCTGGGAATGGGCAAAATGCTGGGAAGGGACACAACCAGGCCAGCTGACCCAAATTAACTACAGGGATATTCCATACCAGGTGATATAAAAGTTAAAGGAGAGAGGTGGGATGGAGATTGTTTGTTGAGAATAATGTTTGCCTTCTGGAGCAGTTGCTGTACCTACCGAAGTGCTGCTTCCCATAATGTGTGTGCCAACTTTGGCTCCTTTTGCTGTGGTAAACTGCTTTATTTTAACCTAC